TGTTGTTGCTCTGACTGATTTCTACAAGCCTCTAAAAAGAAGCACCTGAGACATTAAGGCCTCAGGGTCTCTAAATCTTTTTGGAGTCCAGAGCTTGAAGTTGTTGAGAAGTAGAATCCTTGAAGGGCTCTGGTCAGACTGCTTAGGCCCAAATCGGCGTATGTGACCCTGGATAAGTTAACCTCTCTGTGTCTCAGGATCTTGGTCATCTATTAAATTAAATAACAATACCTGTATTACTGGATTGTTATGAAGACAAATAGAATCCTTAACAAACACTAGGTGTAGTTATGACAACGATGGTAGCAAGTCTGGCCCCTCAGGACCCTCACTTGCTTTACCTCAGGTTGACATGAGAGGTGTTCCTTTTATTCTGTCTGATTCAATATCTTTCTTCTTATTGGAATTTAATGATCAGCTTCGCCTCCAAGAAGTAGCTTGTCCTGGGCCCGGCTCTTCCACTTGGTTGGGGGCTGTGGAGCTGAGCTCTGACAGAACCCTTATTTCAAGTACCCTCTATCTAAATACATCACAGCAGGCAATAGCATAAACCAGAGGACAGCTTTGGGCACTGGTGAGACCAGCAGCTCGGACTCAAAGCAATCTTCACAATCCCCACCATCATCTCTGTGACCCTGAAAACAGGAGAAGTGGATGTTTATGGACATCGCAACACAGCTTCAGTGCACACATGGAAACCTATCCACACCCCAGGCATTAGATGGATATCTTTTGCTAATTAGATGCCCTGTAGGAGGGGTAGCCTAGTGGGTAAGGGGTTGCATTGCCAACCTCTAAGGTAAGTGGTTCAAATCCACAAGCTGTTCTATGGGGGAAAGATTGGGCAATTTCTTCCCATGCGATTTACAGCTTCTGAAAACTTCCGGAAAGTCAGCTATGAGTCAGTTTCGACTTGTCATTAATGAGTTGAGTTTGAATCTTGTTGAAAAGCAAAGGACATTTGATATCTATTAAATATATATTGTTTCACTAAATATCTATAATCCATTGTTATTGTTGTTATGTATTAACAAGTTGGAACCGACTCACAGCTGACCCTCCAGCTGGTTTTTGACCCACAGCTGACCCTCCAGCTGGTTTTCAGAGGCAGTAAACCAGGCAGGAGGAGATGCCCATTGTTCTCTTGCTGAGTAGCTGGTAGATTAGAACTGTATACATACCTTGATCCACCTCCATTTAATATTCTACCCATTTCAGAAATGGTGACACTGAGGCTTGATTTGCCCAACATCCTTGGTCAAGCAGTGAACAAATCTGTTGTTGTTGTTGTGTACCATCGAGTCATAGCTGACCCTCCAGCCAGTTTTCAGAGGCAGTTAATTGCATGGGAGGAGACTGCCCATCTTTTTCTTGCAGAGCCACTGGTGGATTCGAACTGTATGCCTTCGGGATTATGGCTCAGCTTCTTACCACAAATCTGATAGAGTAGCATGTGCTATAGCTTCCACCACAGACTCAAGAATAATAAAGCATGTTTCTCTCTCACCTTTGCTTTCTCTCTTCTCCCTGCTAACCCACAGAGCCGTTTTTGCTTCCTAAAGCTTCCTCTAGCTGTACTGCAATCCTGAAGGTATGTGGTTCGAGGCCACCAGCTGCTCCACAGAAGAAGGATGGACAGTCTCCCGGGTAATAAACTGCCTCTGAAAACCCGCCAGAGGGTCAGCTATGGGTCGGTTCCGACTCTGCAGTACACAACAACATACATAATCCCTCTGGAGGGTCAGCTAGGAATCAATTCCAGTTGGAAAGTACGTGATGACAACAACAACAATAACAACAAAGTCCTCAGAAGAAGGCATGTGTAGAGTCATCTGAACTCCCCTAAAGAGGCTGCACCCAGACCCTGGAGGCCACATGACAGAGAGGTAATAGAGCATTCCAGGCCCCTCTGACAGATAAGTAGGGAAGTCACCCCATCCCATGGAGGGGAGGGAAGAGGATTACTCTAGCTGCTTTGTATATCCTACATAATCCTCACGCCAACACTAACAAGTCGGAGTTACCAATTGCCTTTTACATATTGGAAACCCAACACTTACAAGGGTTAGTTAAAGGGCAGAGTTACTTAAGGATGTTTGGGATTCAATTCCAAGTCTGACCCCAGAGTCCACATTCTTTCCCCTGCAGGCTGTTCCCTCCCACAGGAGGCAGGGTTACTAGGAACTGTTATTGGAGGCTTAATGGAACCTTCTCTACTACTTGGAACGCCTTTAGTTCTTAATGGTAATCAAGGGCTCCAGAGGGGAAATTGCAGGGTCAAGCCTTCCACCCTTGCTGGTGAAGCTGGCATGGGGCATGGGTCAGACCATGTTTTCTGGACTAGGGCCGGGTCCGTCATGCTCTCTTGACAGTCCTAGGTCATAAGGAGGAGCTTGGCCAGTTTGTGGTGGTATTTTCAGTGGATGACAGTGCTCTCAAGTCACAGAGGAAACTTTGTGGAGCCTGGGGAAGTGACCCAGGAGGAAAGTTATTTGGGACTGCTCATTTCTGGCTTAGGTTTATACACATCTTTCCTTCCAAGGCCCAGTTCTTTGGTTCATGCACGGACTAGACGAATTACAAGTATCTATTAGCCAAATAGAGGAAACAGCTGGGCTCCACAAGATGTGTTGCCTTGGCCAGTGGGAGGAGGACCACCCGAGTTTGTGCAGAGGGTTTGTGCACCTACTACGTGCTGTGGATGTAGACAAACAGAAACAGAAAAATTGTCACTGACGGTAAGAAAACAAATGAGATGACCCCTAGAGGGAGCTTCTAGCCTGAGCAGTATAAGTATTAAATGGAAAATTTATCCTGAAAAAAGAATCTAGTACAATCTTGTCTCCACCTCTCACTGCCACCATTCCCGCTACCCTCACCCCTTAGATTCTTACCTGTCCTTGAGTTTGAGGAATGCCATTTTTCTAGCGCTAAGCTTTAAAGAATAAAACCACCAAAGTGTCCAAACCGGAAGAAACCTTCTCCCAGGAATGATGGGCTGGCAGGAGAATTTACTTCACTTTCAAATGTCCTTTGCCTCCTCCCACACACACCCCCGCCAGGGCTTTTTCCATTGTAGACAAATAAATCAAATGAAGGGGAAGAACAACTTTTTTCTTTTTGATTGGCTGTTCCTGCACTGAGTTGGGAGTTTAAGGGAACCCAAGCTCCCCAGGTACTTCCCATGCATATGGTCTTTATTCTTCATGAGCTGATAATTTTTCTTGGGTCTGGAACTCCTGAGAGGGGCATAATCTATTTTATTGTTGTTGTTCATTCCTCTTCATACTCCTAAATATCATTGCTATTTGACTTATGTTTTTTCTTTAGCCAAAAGGTAAACTTTCTGAGGCAGAGCTTCAAAATCCTAGCCTACAAGGAGAAACTTGGTTTCACCCTCTCCAAGACAGACCTATTTATTTTCTTGGTGGTCAATGGTACATTCAAGACTTTTCCATCACCACAACGCAATGGCATCAATTCTTCTGTCATCCTTAGTCATTGTCCTGCTCTCTGAGGCATGGCAAGTAAATTCTAAGACCATGGCCTGGATTAGGTGCACCTTCGTCTCTAGACTGATATTGGTTTTCGGCACACTGGAGAGGTCCCTGGCAGCAGATTTTCCCAGTGTAATTCATCTTTTGATTTTCTAATGGCTGGTGCCAAGAGCCTTGATAGTGGAGCTGAGCAAGGGATAATTGTTAACAACCTCAATCTATATTCTCTTTCCGTCATGGTGCTGCCAATTGGCCCAGTGGTGAGAAACAACCCAACAAAGATGAAATCTTTGACCATTTTGATCATTTCTCCATCTATCATGATGTTACCTATTAGTCCAGTGGTAAACATTTTTATTTTCTTTATATTGGGATATAATCCATATTGAAAGCTGTAGTTGTTGATCTTCTGTAGCAAACGTTTCAAATCCTCCTCACTTTCAGCAAGCAATGTTGTGTCATTTGCCTAACATAGGTTGTTGATGAATCTTCCTCTGATTTTGATGCTATATTCTTCTTCAGAAAGTCTACTTTCTTGAATCATTTGCTCAGAATAAAGACTGGATAGGTATGAAGAAAGGATACAGCCCTGACCAAAATCTTTCCTGATTTTAAACCATGCAGTGTTTCCTCACTCTGCTCATACAACAGCATATTGGTCTAGGTATAGGTTTTGTACGAACATAATTAGGTGTTCTGCGATTGCCAGTCTTCTCAATATTAGCCTAGTTTGTTATGATCCACATAGTAAAATGCCTTTGCAAAGTCAATAAAACACAAATAGACATTCTTCTTGTACCCTCTGCTTTCAGCCAAGATTCATCTGACATCAGCTCTGCCATGACCTCCTTTAGTTATCAGGAAAATGTGGTGTGCCTGACGAGGCTACTTGTGCTGCGTCCCAGAACTTCCACAGACTCTCCATCAAAGGAAAGGGATCTCCAGAGCCAGTCCCAGGGCAGTGCAGACAGAGGGCCCTTCTCTGCTACACATGGGCCTTCTTTCCTCCAGCCAGGGGAAATAAAGATTTAATTCCAGCTCTATTCTTCTTATGTTGTTATGTGTATTTTAGTTGGAACCAATTTGTAACTGACACTCTAGCTGGTTGTTAGAGCCTGTAAATAACAAGGGAGAAGATTACCCATCTTTCTCTTACTCAGTAGCTGGTAGACTTGAACTGTGTGCCATCAGGTTGACAGTGCAGCTCCTTACTGCTAAGCCACCAACACTCATACAGAACTTGAAAAGTCCTTTGAACTCCTATAGTTCTTAAAATATACTTTTCAAAACATAATTTATTCTTAAGTTTAAAAAAATTCTTCTTCTCTTCCAATCTTTTGTTAAGATTCTGAAAGATGTCATTTCCACAGGTAAAATCCTCTATGGCTCTGTGAAAAATGGGTTATTCTCAAAGTCTTTATCAAAGAGGCCTCCAGTGACATCTTAGTTTCTAGAAAGGCTATCTAGGGATTATAGCTATCTTAAGCATTGTATTGAAATGGTTTAGAAATCATCACCATATTTCCTGGAAATAGAATAGAGTTAACAGAGAGTAAGTCACAGGGCTCCACAGAACTGCATAATGACGGGTAGTTTACAAAACAAGGAGAATGATTTTTTTTAAAAAATAGTTCTGAGTACAGTAGGCAGACCTAGGTATCAGAGGGGAAGGAGAATGGGTATGTTTGTTATAAAACAGACCAAACAAAATTCTCAAACTCCATCTTCACTAGAAATAAACTGATGGTGGAAGCGAAGTGAACCTTTTAAAAAGAGCACATGTTTAATGCAAAACAGAAAAAGTGATTATCGCTAGGAAATTGTGAATCTGAATCATAGAGTTATCTAGGTTCTGGAGTGTAGTTTCATTTCCTAAAATAAATTCTCGATCAGGCTACTTTTCTCCGTCATATGCAGAAGGCAACAATTTATACCCATTTGCCAGAAGCCAAACCAGACTGAGGCCATATGTCTGTCTCATTTTCTTCCTGGCCTAAAGGAAACTCATATTGGTTTAAATCAGAATCTCATTTGAAGGGTGTCACAACCCAGTCTGTACGCCCCAGAAATGACTATGGCTCCATATTCTTGGAATCCTGTCGACAGGGCGAAGGAAGGAGAAGAAAGGAGACCTTAGAAACTGCAGAAGAGCGCGTGGAGAAGGAATGTGTGAAAAGAACTGCAACTTGCAGGCTGGGAAGAAAGTGATGTTTGACTTCACCATTCAGTGGGGGAAAGAAAAAAAAACTCAACATAAAAGCAAAGTCGAGCTCATTTTTGTCAATGTGTCTTTTCCACAACTATTTTTTAAGCGCTTGAGTGTGTAGACAGAAGGGATGCGACCTGTAATGTACGCCAAGGTTTGTCTAAAAATATTTTACACCTGTTCTCTGTTCTGCACACTGGTCATATTTTATCAGTGAAGTAAAGTCCTCATAATTCTAGACGGGATATAGTTTTCCCTTCCAAGTTCTTACTAGTTTTCCCTTCTGTAAGATAAGGCTCTTCTTTTCTACCTGGACTAAAACAAAAACAGCATCAATATTCATATGACAGACCAGACACCAGAGCTACACTTTCACTACTCCTATTCTTTCGTTATTATTAAGTAGGAACAATAATTTCCATATTTTCCACAGCAGCATGGTCACTAATTTAGTGAACATTCCTAAATGAAACTATCCATGCTGCTTAAAATAATTTTCACAACAAAACTAGAATTATAAGCTCTGGGGTATTTGGACCTGAAATGTGGATAGGATAATGTTTAGGATATTACTATACAATTCCGCACTGTAAACAAAAAGGCACATAGTTCAAAGTCACCAGCTGCTCTGTGGGAGAAAGATAGGCAATCTCTTCCCATGTGACTTGTTATTGTTGTTATGTGCTGTTGAGTTGCTTGCGACTCATAGTGACCCTGTGTACAACAGCCCTAAACTCTGCTCTATCCTGTGCCAATCTTATTGTGTCCAACACACCTACCTGCATTACCCCAGTCACTGAATCAATCCATCTCATTGAGGGTCTTCCTCTCTTATGTTGTTGTCTCTCCAACCTCCCAAGCATGACTTCTCTCTCCAAGGACTGGTTGGTCCCTCACCACTTGATCAAAGTATATCAGACAAAGCTTCAGAATTCTTGCCTCCAAGGAGCAACCTGGTGTCACCCTTTCTAGGCCAAACTTGTTTGTTTTCCTAGCCATCCATAATATATTCTATATTCTTCTCAGCACCACAGCTCAAAGGCATTAATTCTCCTTCTATTATCCATAATCATTGTCCAGCTTTCAGATGCATAGTAAGCAATTACAAAGACCATGGCCTGAATCAAGTGCATCTTAGTCTCTAGACTGACATTGTTGCTCTTCAGTACTTTGGAGAGGTCTCTGTCAGCAGACTTTCCCAATGCAATTTATCTTTTAATTTCCTTGCTGCTGGTACCAACAGTGTTGATTGTGGAGCCAAGCAAACTGAAGCTGTTAACAATCTCAATCTCTTCACCATTCATCATGATGTAGCCAGTCAGCCTAGTGGTGAGAATCTTTGTTTTCTTGATGTTGAGCTTCAATCCATATTGAAGGCTGCAGTTCTTGACCTTCTGTAGCAACCCCTTCAGGTCCTCCTCCATTTCAGCAAGCAGTGTTGTTGATGAGTCTTCCACCAATCCTAATGCCACATTTCTCCTCAAAGAGCCCGGTCTCCTGGATAATCTATGTGACTTCCTGCCTCTAAAAATCCACTGAAGGTTCAACTATGGGTCAGTTCTGACTTGATGGTGCACAACAAAAAGATGCTATTTTAATTCTCTCTGAAGGCAAGTGATGGACCAACAAGATGAGAATCCCTGGTGGCACAGTGGTTAAAGCATCCTGCTAGTAAGCTAACGGTTGGTGGTTCTATAAAAACATACAGTCTTGGAAACCCTTTGCTAGGAAGAGTCAACTTGACAACAGATGGGGTTTGGTATCATTTGGTATTCTGACTTCAAAAGGCTGTAAACATGGGCACAACTCTAAACTTAATGGTATCCTGATGCTGTACCCATCTCCCTTGACCCAATTCCAACTCAAAGAGACATCACCCCGCCCCGTTGGGCTCCAGGACTGTATGTCTTAATGGGAACAGACTACCTCCTGTTTCTCCCACACTGATGCTTTTTTGATTGGAACCTCAACATGTGACCCAAGGACAACTTTACTCGCTTAAGAGATACAATGATATCACTATACCCATTTTGCAGATGAAGAAACTAAGTCATTTAAGAATCAAACTACTTAATATGCCTAACCGACAAATTAGACCTATCATTTCAGGCACTGGATTAAGTGCTTTCTTCTATGTCTTATCTAATTATGAGATGGCTAAGCCCTTACAAACAGACTATGTGTATAAAATAAGTCTAAAATAGAAAATCTTAAAATTATTGAGAAATGGATGCTAGAAGTTTACTTCTTGCAAAGTCAAGTAGTAATAAGAATAAGACTTCACACAATCTGTACCTCCAAAAACCCATCTACTGTGGCTTAGCAGTACTTGGTTCAATCAGTTTCATCCTAACTCCAAAATTTAAATAGTAAATACTTAAATAGGATTTAATTCATAGGAAAAACTAGAGAAATTCTCCCAAGCAGTTTTCAAAATAGGATTTTCTGTTTACAGTGCATTTGGTTCTATTTCCATTGTTATTAAGTCTGAATTGAGTCAAAGTGAACCCTCTAGGAGGTTTTCAAAGGCTGTAAATCACACAAGAAATTGACCATCTTTCTCCACAGAACAGCTGGCGGATTTGAACTGCTTATCTTGGGTTGGCAACCCAACTCCCTACTCACTAGGCCATCAGAGCTTCCTAATTTAAACGTACTCAAAACTATGCTATGCAGATGATACACCTTGTTTGCTGAAAGTGAAGATTTGAAGCACTTGTTGCAGAAGATCAAAGACCATGGCATTCAATATGGATTCTATTTCAACATGAAGAAAACAAAAAAAACCTCACGATTGGCCCAATAAGCAATATCATGATAGATGGAGGAAAGATTGAAGTTATGAATGATTTCATCTTACTTGGATCCACAATCAACAACGTTGGTACTGATAGTCAAGAAATAAAAAGATGTGTTGGCTTGGGAAAAATCCTCTGCCAAGTACTTCTCCAAAGTGCTAAAAAGCAATGATATGAACTTAAAGACTGAGGTACGCCTAATCCAAACTCTAGTCTTTGTGATTACTTCCTATGCATGTGAAAGTTGGGCAATGAGTAAGAATGACAGACGAATCAGTGCTTTTGAATTGCAGTATTGGAGAAGAGCACTCACCATCACGTGGACTGTCAGAAGAACAAACAAGTCTGTCCTGGAGAAAGTGCAAACAGGGTGTGCCTTAGAGGTAAGGATGGTGAAACTTCATCTCACACTGTGGACATGTTGTCAGGAGGGACCATCCTTGGAAAAAGACATCATGCTAGGAAAGGCTGTGTCATCTACATAGTGCAGATTGTTAAAGAGTCTTCCAATCCTAAGGCCACATTCTTCTTCCTATAGTCCAGCTTCTCGAATTATTTAACCGGTATGAAGACAGAATAGGAATGGAGAAAGGATCGAGTCCTGATACAGACCTTTCTTGATTTTAAAACATGCAGTGCTCCCCTGTTCTGTTTGGATAAAATAGAACAGCTTCTTGGTGTAAGTTTTGCAAGAGTTTAGTATGGTAGTTTTGAAAAATAATATAGAAACAAATAATAGGTATTACAAACATATTGTTGAAGATGAATAACTTGGCCTTTCTTCAAGTGTTTCTCAACAAGCTCAGAGGAGTATTTGTGAAAATTGCCACAGCACATCAATGCTTACAATTTTACATAGAAGTAACAGGCCAGTGAACTCAATCTGAGGGAATCATTAAATGGCTCTAAAATGAGAGAAATAATTGACATGATTGAACTCAAACGGCCAACAAAATTAGAGTATTAGTATAATTTCATGATTCAAAAGGTATCTCCAAGTGTCTTTCTTAAAATGCCATCCTGACTTCTACGCCTGGTTAATGCAATAGCCTAATGCTCTCTTTACGACTTTTACAATGAGTATTCTTTCTTTTTTCCCCATTTACGAGTATTCTTGTAAAGATTCCACAAGTCTTATGGCTAGACAAAATTGTTTGATATCCCTGATTCCCAATCAGAATAGCAATTAATGTGAGGCAACATAGCACAGTGGTTGGGAGCATGACGTCTGGAACTAGACTTCATTCGCCAAGTCTGTACCTACTGACCATGTTATCTTGGGTGAATTAAACTCTCTCCATCTGGAAAGCGAGGTAGACTTGTATTTAGTAAGTACCTGTTGCTGTTAAGTCAGTTCTGACTTCCAGAGACCCTGTTGTTTGGTGCCATCAAGTCAACTCTGGCTCATAGCAAGCACAGGCACAACAGATCAGAACCCTGCCTGACTCTGTACTATCTTCATAGTCTCTACTGTGTGTAATGCCATTGTTGCGGTCAGCCTGTGAATTCAATTTATAGATG